GCAGCCGCTGCAGCAAAAAGCAAACAGCAGCAGCAAAACAATTTGCTGCTGCAGTGTTTTTTTACTTCCTTTTATTTATTTTCTTTTTTTTAATTTCTTTTCGATTCCCTTTAGTTCTTTTTACTTTTTTCAATTATTTTTTATTCTTTTTAGTCCTCTTTAATTCTTTTTAATACTTGTTAATTCTCTTTTAAAAATAAATTGAAAAGCAAATTACAGAGATATTAAAAAGAACAAAAATTAAATTAAAAAATAAATGAAATAAAACGAAATTAAAGAGGAGACCAAAAAGCAAAAAAAGAAAAGAAAAAAATGAAAAAAAAGGAAAAATTAAAAGGATGAAAACAGAAAAGATGAAAGAGAAAGAACAGGAATTAAAAGAATAAAAAAGAAAAAGAAAAAAAATAAAAAGAAATTAAAAACAGAAATAGAAGGAAGAGAAATAAAAGAAATATAATAGAAATACAATTGAAAACAGAAAGAAATTAAAAGTAGTAAACAAAGATAAAATAAAAAATAAAAAGAAATTAAAATGAGATAAGTAATGAAGCAAAAAAAAATAAAATAAAAGTAAAAAAATAAATTAAGCAAACAAAACAAAACACATAAAACAAAATAAATAAAAAGAAATAGATAAAAGAAATAAAATAAAATAAATCAATTAAAGTAAATAAAATGAAACAAATAAGATAAAATAGATGAACAAAATAAATAAATAAAACAAATAAAGGGTAAGGAAAATAAATAAAATAATAAAACAAATAAAACAAATAAACAAATAAAATAAACAAAATAAATAAATAGATAATAAAACAAAGAAATAAACAAACAAATAAAATAAATAAATAAACAAATAAATAAATAAATTAAATAAAACTTTTCCGACAAGTTTGTGGGGTTTGAGGAGCTGCTGCAGCAAAACAAATTCTGCTGCTGTTCCATCGGGGCTGTTGTCGTCCACCACCAACAACTCAAAGTCCAAACCCCTGCAAACCCTAAACCCTAAACCCTAAACCCTAAACCCTAAACCCTAAACGCTAAACCCTAAACCCTGAGCCGTTAACAATAAACGCTTATCAATAAACAGTGAGCCCTTGACAATAAACCCTAAACCCTAAACCCTTAACAATAAACCCCAAGCTCAAGATACCAGAATACACACGATAAACACTAAGCAACAAATCCCAGGCCCTAAACCCTAAACCCTAAACCCTAAACCCTAAACCCTAAACAACTCCCTCTGGCCCTTCAGCACTGCATTCCAAGCACCCCAGAGTTCTAAAGATGCCCTGGGGGCCCCCCACGACAAAAGGCCCTCCAGTTCCCAGGGGCCCCCGGCGCCCCCAAGGGCCCCTCGGGGCCCCCTGGGGGCCCCCTGGGAGCCCCCTGGGGACCCCCGGGGGCCTCCTGGGGGCCTCCTGGGGGCCCCCTGGGGGCCCCCAGGGGGCGCCCTGCGGCCCCCAAGGGTTCTCAGGGCCCCCCAAAGGCCCCCAGAAGGCCCTCGGGGGCCCCCATGGGTCCCCAGGGTCCCTTCGGGGGCCTCCAGAAGCTCTAGGGGGGCCCTCGGGGGCCCCCTGGGGGCCTCCAGGGGCCCCCAGGGGGCCCGCAGGGGGCCCCGGGGGGGCCCCGGGGGTCCCTGGGGGCCCCTGGGGGCCCCTCAGAAGGCTTACGCTTTGTCGAAGACGTCGCAGAGGAGGAAAGTGATAAGTGGCAAGTTTTCTTTTTCATTATAAGTGGGCAAAATGACAGTATAAAGCGCCATGGTGGCGGGGGTGTGGGGCCCCAGAGAAGCAGCAGCAAAATTAGTTTAATTTAGCAAAAATTTTATTTAATTTCGTCTTTTTAAACAAAAAAAAACCCAAAAATACCACCAAGGGGGACAGGGGGGCCCCCAGACCTGCGCCGACAGAAGGGGGCCCCTGGGGCCCCCAGGGGGCCCCAGGGGGCCCCCAGGGGACCCCCCGGGGGCCCCCAGGAGGGACCCCAAGGGGGCCCCGTAGGGGCCCTCGGGGGCCCCCTTGGGGGACCCTGGGGGGGCCCCTGTACCCTTGGAGTTATAAAAGCAGCAAAAGGAAAGTTTTTGAATGCATGCGTTTGGTTTGAGGTGTATGTACACCTGAAGGTCACTGGGGAAGGGGGGGTGAAGCAAACATTTGGAAATAAATATTTAAATTTAAAATTTAGATTTGAATATTTAAATTTAAATATTTAAATTTAAATGTTTAAATTTAAATGTTAAAATCAAACTTTTGATTTATTTCAAACAGTGCAGGTAGATCTGCTCCTACAGGATGAGAGCGCCGAAGAGCCACGGACACTCTTAACCCTAAACCCTAAACCCTAAACCCTAAACCCTAAACCCTAAAGCCCGAACCCTAAACCCTAAACCCTACACCCTACACGCTAAACCCTAGTTAGCTACGGCCAGCTAGCTGCAAGGAGCTGCAACTAGCCACGACTGGTGGCTTCGCGCCATGCAGAGCCAGAGCTAGCCACCGACAGCAACAGCTAGCTATCCAGCTAGCTAGCTAGCTAGCTAGCGAAAGCTAGCTAGCTAGCAGTAGCCATGAGCTACTGCAGCTGGAGCTAAATTGCTGCAGCCAGCAACACCTGCTGCGGCTAGCCAGAAGCTGCTGCAGTTAGCCATAAGTGGCCGCAGCTAGCCACTAATTGCTGCAGCTAGCCGTTTATTGCTGCAGCTAGCCACAAGCAGCAGCAGCCAGAAACGAGAAGCGGTAGCTAGCAACAAGAAGCAGCAGCTAGCAGCAAGAAGCAACAGCTAGCCACGAGCAGCAGCAGCTAGCCACAAGAAGCAGCAGCTAGCCATAAGTAGCAGCAGCTGCAGCTAGCCATGAGCAGCTGCAGCTAGCCATGAGTAGCTGCAGCTAGCCATAAATAGCTGCATGCGAGTCATTAAACCCAGAGATCTAAAAAACGCAATAACTAGCTCGCAGCTAGCTACAGCTAGCTACAGCTAGCTGCAGCTAGCTAGCAGCTAGCTAGCAGCTAGCTAGCAGCTAGCTACAACTAGCTAGCAGCTAGCTACAACTAGCTAGCAGCTAGCTGCGGCTAGCTGTAGCTAGCCAAGCACAGTCACGCCTGCTACAGCTAGCTACAGTCTTGCTACCGCTAGCCACGGCTTTGCTATAGCTAGTTACAATTTTGCCGCAGCTAGCTACAGCTAGCCACAGCTAGATACAGCTAGCCACAGCTAGCTACAGCCATATAGCAGCTAGCCACAGCTAGCTGGAGCTGTGGAGTTCTCTGTTTGCTTTCAGTTTTTTCAACACAGCCACTGGGTCACTTTAAAAAAAAATAAAAAGTAAATAAATAAAATAAAATTAAAATATTAAAAAATGGCCTTGCTAGACTTCATGCGGCAGCAGCAGCAGCAGCAGCAGCAGAAGTAGCTCAAGGGGCTGCAGCAAATTCGCTTGATATCCCATACTCTGGTGAGCTGCTGTGGCTAGCTCTCTAGCTAGCTGCCTAGAGAGACGCCTTGGGCAGCCTTTAGCTGCTGCTGCTGCAGCTGCAGCAGCAGCAGCAGGAGCTGCTGCTGCTGCTGCTGCTGCAGATCACGAGAGTCTCAGGCAAAAGAAGGCACGCTACCTAGGTTTAAGGGTTTGGGCACTAGGGTTTAGGGTTTAGGGTTTAGGGTTTGCATGGCGCAAGGCTGGCATCTACTTGAGGGCTCGTCTTTCGCTTCAGCAGCAGAAGCTCGCAGCAGCAGCAGCAGCAGCAGCAGCAGGATTGCTTCGAGCAGCAAGATCGGCTTCTAAGCTGCAGAAACGCAACAGGAACAGAAGCAACGAAGGCAGCAGCAGGATCTTGCCGCTCGTCTGTATTATTTAATTAAAGGCATTTAATAAAATTTGTTTGATTAAATTTATTTATTTAAATTAATTAATTAATTAATTTCAGCTTTTGCTGCTTCTGGTTGCGTCGGGTCTTGCTGCAGGTCCGGTGGACCTTGGGGGGTCTGTACAGCTGAAGTAAAGCTGCAGCAGCACTTCAGGAGTTTCTCTTTGGCTGAAAAATAAAAATAAATGAAAAGAAAAAGCCCGAACGACCTGCAAACCCTAAACCCTTGACCCTGGTTGCAAAACCCTAAACCCTAAACCCTAGTCCCTCGCTGGCGCTTGTCGGCGGCGCGGGTGGGCCTGGGGTGTATCTGCAGCTCTGGGGTGTCTGTACAGCTGGAAAAGAGGCGCGGCACACTAAAACAAGAAAACTTTGCAAAAAAAAGAATAATAGATTTAATAAATTCAACAAATGGAAATAAATAGTGAAGAAGAAGAAGAAGATCCGTTTAGGGAAGGCGCCCGCCGGTTGCTGCGGTGTCTGTACACCGCAGCCGCCGCTGCTGCTGCGCCTCGCCCGCCGCGCCTTCTCGCCACTTTTTTTCGTTTTTCTTCTTTAAATACTTTATTTTTTCTTTTTTATTTCCATTTGGAAATGCTCGAGCCTTTCCGGCGGCGAAAATTTGAAGAGTCGCCGGCCGGACCAGCGGTCTGCTGGGGTGTACGTACACCGCAGCGCCTCGCCTCGCGTTTCGGCGAAAAATAGAAAACGGAAAAACGCCAAATTTTCGCCTTTTTCCGGTTGTACAGACACCGCGTGATGCCCCGCATCTCCTTCACCTCTTTATTGTCTCTTTTGGCTTTCTTTTTCGTCTCTTTGGGGTCTCTTTTGTCTCTTTTCGTCCCTCTTCTCGCCAGCCCCGCCCTCCGCCTCGAAAAGGCCTTCCAAATGCAAAAGCCACTTTCCGCTGTCTCTCCCATTTCCTCCAAATTTGCCTAAGGCCTCCACTGCGTCTCTTTCTCTCACTTTCTTTTTGTCTCTTTTTGTCTCTTTTTGTCTCTTTTTTGTCCCTTTTTTGGCTCTCTATTAGCCCCTGTTTGGCCTTTTATTTGCCCCTTGTTGCCTCTATTTTGGTCTCTTTTAGTCTCTTCTTTTGTCTCTTTTTGTCTCTTTTTTGTCTCTTTTTGTCTCTTTAAAAAATGGAGACTCGGAAGTTCTTTCGCGGTTTTCGGCCTCGGGCCCTTATCGGTGAGTGAAGTGTCTCGTTTTATTTCTTTTCCCTTTTTTTGCATTTCATTTTCTTGTCCCTTTTGTCTCTTTTTTATCCGTTTTGTGCCTTTTTTTGGCTTTTTTTGTCCCTTTTTGTCCCCTTTTGTCTCCTTTTTGTCTCCCTTTTGTTTCGTTTTTGTTTCCTTTCGGTATCTTCTTTTGTCTCCGTTTATCTCTTCTTTTTTCTCCTTCTTATCTCTTTTTTGTCTCTTTTTTGGTTTTTTTTGTCGCTTTTTGTCCCTTTTTTGTCTCTTTTTTGTCTCTTTTTTGCTTCTTTTTTGTCTCTTTTTTGTTTCCTTTCGGTATCTGCTCTTGTCTCCTTCTAAGCTCTTCTTCTGTCTCCTCCTTACCTCTTCTTTTGTCTCTTTTTTGTCTCTTTTTAATCCCATTTTTGTCCTTTTTTTTGTCCCCTTTTGTCCCTTTTCCCCCCCTTTTTGTCCCCTTTTTGTCCCTTCTTTTGTCTCCTTTTTATCTCCATTTCATTTCTCTTTTGTCTCTTTGGTTGTCTCCATTTTTGTCCTTTTTCTTTATTTTTTTGTCTCTTTTTTGTTTCTTTTTTGTTTTTTTTCCATTTCTTTTTATCTTTTTTCTTTAGTTGTTTTATTGTTTCCTTCTTGTCTCCCTTTTCCCCTTTCACTGTTTTATTTTTTATACTTTTTGTTCCTTTTTTATTTCCCTTTTACTTCGCTTTTATTTCTTTTTAATTTCTTTTTTATTTTTTTCTTCGATTTATCGTGTGTCTCCTTTTTTTTATTTTTCTTTTTTCTTTGCCTTTTTACTGTCTCCATTTGTTTCTTTCAATTTCATTTTTTTAAAATTTAATTCTTTGTTTTATTTAATGTCCCTTTTTTGTTTATTTAATTTACCTTTTTGTTTTATTTATTTTCGGTTTTTGTTTTATTTATTTTCATTTCTTGTTCTATATAATTTCCCCTTTTGTTTTGCAGCAGCAGCAGCAGCAGCAGCAGCAGCAGCAGCAGCAGCAGCAGCAGCAACAGGGGCTACGCCGTGGCCTGCAGACTCTGCTGCTGTTGCAGTTCCAGAAACAGCAACAAGGGGCCCCTGGTCAGACACAACTCCTTTATTGGGGGCCCCCAGCGACAGTGAAGAAGAGGGGCACCCCCTGGGGGCCCCCCTCGCTG